TTCTTAACTCTCTCAAACCAACCTTTGCTGGCCTTAAATTCACTCACATCACTAGTTGCAGGCATTTTTTTAATTAAATCCTGATGCAACTTCCTAGCCTTTTCACTTATGATCACTTGAGAGATGCTATCTCCTGCTATCTGTTTTTCATTTATCCACACCAATAAGAGTCTCTCAACATCTTCCATCACTTGCGATCTCTGTTTCGAAAACACAGTTGAACCTTTGGCAAGAACAGCTTCCTTGATTGCCTTTTTGTTGCCCACAATAGTAACGATGGTTGATTGGGGTTTATTATACAACCTGGCCAGCTCGGAGACATGCACTCCACTTTCATACTTATCAATGATCTCTTTCTTCATCTCTATAGTAATTCTCACCCTTATTCCTGTAGGGTTGGCACTAGAAGCTTTCTTGGGGCCCATGGTCACTTATTTTGCAGATAAAATCACCAAAAACACTGTAATAATACGAAATGTTCCGATTGTATGCTTGGGTGTTACCGCGGAGGCTGGCTGGTAAACAATGCCACCGGCAGAACATGTGAGGCTGGCTAAGGCCGCACATTAGACGCGTCTCGGACGAACAGCGTTGAGCGGGTTTTTTAGCGGTATGTGAGGCAAAATCTTAGCAATAAAATGTATCGGTATGCGGATTTAACGTTATGTAAGGCCAACGGTATGCGGGGGTCCACTGTATAGGCATTTATGGGCATTTTTTAACTGTATCCTGAATTCACGGTTTTTCCAAATTTGCAGGTGGTCTTGGAACATAACCACGGCGAATTTAGGGGGACTACTGTACACAAATACAGTTACATAGATTATCATACATAGCAGCATTTGTGTAGAGAACCTAGGATAAGCCAAAAAAGTCAGTGACTTATTTCTGTAAGCTTAACTCATTGTATGTGTATTTTACTTTTTTATTGTTTTCTGTAACATATGAGAATTATGCAAGTTTAAATAAAGTTATGAAGTTAGGGGTTTCATTTTTCTTTTTTTTTCTTTCTGATATATGTATTTAATCTCCATGGGGAAGTGGAACAGAATTATTCCTCCGTAAGCCATGCGTGTTGTAAGAGGCGACTAAAATGCTGGGAGCAAGGAGCTAGTAACCCCTTCTCCTGTATATATTACTAAATTGAAAAGGCAAAACTTTTGTTTTTCCTTTTGGGCCACCCCACCTCAGTGGGATACGGCTGGTACGTTGAAAGAAGAAGAAAGATATGTATTTAATTCACCATTTGGCATTGTTACAAAGTGGGTGAAGCTAGCTATAGTTTCATGATTGCCTATGACGCGTGGAGGGGTGTGCCTCTCGGCACTATAAAATATTGTATAATTATACTATTACAATCACTAAAGGTTATCTACCTATCGTATTTATTCCAGAATAATATTAGGTAAAACATAAATACAGTGGACCCCCGCATAACGATGGCATCACATAGCGATTTTTCCGCATACCGATTACTTTTATCGCAAAATTTTTGCCGCGCATACCGATTAAAAACCCGCTTACCGATTTTCGTCCGAGACGCGTCCAATGTGCCCTCAGCCAGCCTCACATGTGCCGGCCGTCCCATTGTTTACCAGCCAGCCTCCGCGGTAACATCCAAGCATACACTCGGAATATTTCGTATTATTACAGTGTTTTCGGTGCTGTTTCTGGAAAATAAGTGACCATGGGCCCCAAGAAAGCTTCTAGTGCCAACCCTGTGGTAAAAAGGGTGAGAATTAGTATGGAAATTAAGAAAGATTTTGAAGGGTTTTTGGGGCTAACCCTGAGAAGCCTATGCCAGTTGTGGAATCCATTGTGCCTACTTCAAAGATTAAGGAAATGTGTGCACAGTGGGTTGAACTGCAAACCTTTATAGATGAAAATCACCCTGACACAGCTGTTGCAAGCCGTGCTGGTGACTATTTCAATGACAATGTTGTGGCCCATTTTAGACAAATCGTAAAGGAACGGGAGGTACAGAGCTCTATGGACAGATTTGTTGTGCGACAGAGGTCCAGTGACTCTCAAGCTGGTCCTAGTGGCATTAAAAGAAGAAGGGAAGTAACCCCGGAAAAGGACTTGCTACCTCAAGTCGTAATGGAAGGGGATTCCCCTTCTAAACAGTAAGAAGATAATGCTCTCCCCTCCTCCCATCCCATCAATCATCACCAGATCTTCAATAAAAGTAAGTGTCATGTAATTGTGCATGCCTTTTTCAGTTTGTGTGTATTAAAATTAACATTTCATGTGGTAAAAAAATTTTTTTTTCATACTTTTGGGCGTCTTGCACGGATTAATTTTATTTCCATTATTTCTTATGGGGAAAATTCATTCGCATAACGATTATTTCGCATAACAATTATCCCTCTTGCACGGATTAAAATCGTTAACCGGGGGTCCACTGTAATGTAGAAGTATGATAAAGATGCCCAAATTAATAAAAACTGACATTATATGGAGAGGTATTGAAGGACGACCGTTACAGAAAACGTTATGTGCTATGTGCCTGAAGGGTAACTACAGAAGATCACTTATCTATGCAAAGACTGAATAAAGTGCTATTTTCTCAAAAAAAAAAAAAAAAAAATCCCAAGTAATCAGCTATGTGTGCATTTCCTAGAATATCTCAGAAGTTAGTTATTGACCTATTTTATGTTGTATTACCATTAATAATGAATGGATTGAAAGGATTTTCACAGCAAACATAAAACTGAATGTTTTAATTTCGAGTTGACATTTTTGAAGTATGAGTAAGGGGTGGTTCCTCAATTAGTGACAAATTTGTTTGCCGACATGGTCTTAGTAATGGAACTCTGTCGAGAAGTGAGGAGAGGCTGTACAGAACATGGCAATAATTAGTTACAAGGGTTACTGTACTTTTACCATATTGATAGCTGTAATTTAAAAGTATGAAAAATTTGCATTTTCTTCATGATATGCTGTAAATTATTTCTTTTTTCTTGTTTCTGTAATACTGCAGCAGTGTACAGCCTCTCCTCACTTAACGATGGAGTTCTGTTCCTAAGGCAAAGTCGGTAAATGAATTCATCCCTAAGCAAGGAGCATACTATAATGTGTGTGTACTCACCTATTTGTGGTTGCAGGGGTCGAGTCATAGCTCCTGGCCCCCCGTGTGTGTGTGTGTGTGTGTGTGTGTGTGTGTGTGTGTGTGTGTGTGTGTGTGTGTGTGTGTGTGTTTGTGTTGTGTTGTGTTGTGTTGTGTTGTGTGTGCGTGTTGTGTGTGCGTGTTGTGTGTGCGTGTTGTGTGTGTGTTGTTGTGTGTGTGTTGTATGTGTGTGTGTCAGCCATCTTTGACATTGTTTTAGTGTCACCTTTGCACCATTTATAACATTTTTAGTATATTTTTAAATGTTTATACAGTAGTGTACTGTATATTGTAATAAAGAGAATAGAGGAAATCAGCTCTAATATACATTACTTAGGTATGCATACTGGTTAGAGAGCCCGTAGCAAGTCTGAGTTATCTGTAAACGAGTACATCACTTAGTGAGGAGAGGCTGAAATTAAAAGTTATTTTATTGTTTTTTGAATATGACCTTCTCTAAATAATTTTTTTATTTTATGCTGATTTATGTCAGTGTTTTTTTTTTAACAAGTCGGCTATCTCCCACCGAGGCAGGGTGGCCTAAAAAGAAAGAAAATTTCCAAAAAGAAAATACTTTCATCATCATTCAACATTTTCACCTCACTCACACATTATCACTGTTTTTGCAGAGGTGCTCAGAATACTACAGCTTATAAGCATATACTGTACGTATAAAGATACACAACATATCCCTCCAAACTGCCAACATCCCAAATCCCTCCTTTAAAGTGCAGGCATTGTACTTCCCATTTCCAGGACTCAAGTCCGGCTATATAAATATAACCGGTTTCCCTGAATCCCTTCACTAAATATTACCCTGCTCACACTCCAACAGCTCGTCAGGTCCCAAATACCATTTGTCTCCATTCACTCCTATCGAACACGCTCACGCACACTTGCTGGAAGTCCAAGCCCCTCGCTCACAAAACCTCCTTTACCCCCTCCCTCCAACCTTTTTGAGGATGACCCCTACCTCGCCTTCCTTTTCCTACAGATTTATATGCTCTCCATGTCATTCAACTTTGATCCATTCTCTCTAAATGACCAAATCACCTCAACAACCCCTCTTCAGCCCTCTGACTAATACTTTTATTAACTCCACACCTTCTAATTTCCACACTCCGAATTTTTGGCATATTTACACAACACATTGCCCTAAGACAGGACATCTCCACTGCCTCCAACCGTCTCCTCACTGCAGCATTTACAACCCAAGCTTCACACCCATATAAGAGTGTTGGTACTACTATACTTTCATACATTCCCTTCCTTGCCTCCATAGATAACATTTTTTGTCTCCACATATAACTCAATGCACCACTCACCTTTTTTCCTTCATCAATTTTATGATTAACCTCATCCTTCATAAATCCATTCGCTGAAACGTCAACTCCCGAATATCTGAAAACATTCACTTCTTCCATACTCCTCCTCTCCAATTTGATATCCAGTTTTTCTTTATCTAAATTATTTGATACTCTCATCACCTTACTCTTTTCTTTGTTCATTTTCAGTGTTTTTATCTATAATATTTTAATTTTAAAGGTGACCAAATCTTAATTTATATGTGGTTTTAGAAATACAAATTTGGAAGAGAGAGAAAAATAGCAGATGAGATCTTGGAACATAGTCCTGATTAATTTGTTTTTTAAATTGACTAAAACGAAATTAAATTGCCGTAATAATTTAACCAATTTAGCTTCATCATGAATTACACTAAATAACTGATGGAAAAAAAAAAGGTCATTAAGTCATGTTTCATTGTATTGGTTTCTTCAGCCTTCTATACAGTAGCCAGTGTGAATGCTGCTGAAACCAGGTGTGTCAAACATTAAAATAACATCCTACATTTGTATCCCTAATTTTAAATCATGCACTCTTATATTTTCAGAGATTGAGATGGGAGCCATGTCTCTGCCACAAGGCGAAACCGCTGAACCAGCTGAAATTACAGCGCCTGATGTTATTCGACGCAAATCTGTAGTGGAGCAATTCTTTGATTTATTAAGACGTAAGTTTTAGAATTTAAAATTATTTCTCTATATACGTATAGGTACAAAAGATTTCAAATGCCATTTTACACATATGTATGTACGAATGTGTATGTATGTATAGATAGGAGTGAGTGGAACCAAATGGTTTTTGGGACTTGTCTTCAGAAAAAAATTCTTTACCATTTCAGGAGAATTTTTTTTTTTAAATTCCCGACATTGTCAGCACTTTAATACTGAATTTACAGGGTAAGAACTGGTATCTTACCTCAGATCATTTCACACCCCAAAATAGTCTTATCTTTCTTTCTTTCATTTTTTTTTTTAACACATTGGCAGGGTGACCTGAAAAAGAGACACTTTCATCATCATTCATACACAATCACTGTCTTTGCAGAGGCTCCCAGTATGCCAGTTTAGATCTCACTCCAAATAGCTAATATCCTAAACCCCTCCTTTAAAGTACAGGCATGGTACTTTCTACTTCCAGGACTCAAGTCCGGCTAAATGGTTTCCCTAAATCCCTGCACAAAATATGACCCTGCTCACACTCCAGCAGCTCATCAGGTCCCAAAAACCATTCGTCTCCAGTCACTCCTACCTAACATGCTCACACATGCCAGCTGCATGTCCAACCCCCTTGCACAAAAAACCACTTTTACCCCCTCACTCCATCCTTTCCTAGGATGACCCCAACCCTTCCTACCCTCTGCCACAGATTTATAGTCTTTTTTTTTTTTCAACAAACCGGCTGTATCCCACCAAGGCAGGGTGGCCCAAAATGAAAAACGAATGTTTTTTTTTTTAAATTTAGTAATTTGTACAGAAGGGGTTACTAGCCCCTTGCTCCCGGCATTTTAGTCGCCTCTTACGGCATGCATGGCTTACAGAGGAAGAATTCTGTTCCACTTCCCCATGGAGATAAGAGGAAATACACAAGAACAAGAACTAGAAAGAAAATAGAAGAAAACGCAGAGGGGTGTGTATATATATCCTTGTACATGTATGTGTAGTGTGACCTAAGTGTAAGAAGAAGTAGCAAGACGTACCTGAAATCTTGCATGTTCATGAGACAGAAAAAAGACACCAGCAATCCTACCATCATGTAAAACAAATACGGGCTTTCGTTTTACACTCACTTGGCAGGATGGCAATACCTCCCTGGGTGTTTGCTGTCTACCAACCTACTACCTACAATTTATAGTCATTTTTTTTTCAACAAACTGGCCATATCCCACCAAGGCAGGGTGGCCCAGAAAGAAAAATGAAAGTTTCTCTTTTTAAATTTAGTAATATATATAGGAGAAGGGGTTACTAGCCCCTTGCTCCTGGCATTTTAATCGCCTCTTACAACACGCATGGCTTACAGAGGAAGAATTCTGTTCCACTTCCCAATGGAGATAAGAGGAAATAAACAAGAACAAGAACTAGAAAGAAAATAGAAGAAAACCCAGAGGAGTGTGTATATGCTTGTACTTGTATGTGTAGTGTAACCTAAGTGTAAGTAGAAGTAGCAAGATGTACCTGAAATCTTGCATGTGTATGAGACAGAAAAAAAGACACCAGCAATCCTACCATCATGTAAAACAATTACAGGCTTTCATTTTACACTCACTTGGCAGGACGGTAGTACCTCCCTGGGTGGTTACTGTCTGCCAACCTACTACCTACAATTTATAGTCATATCTAAGGTATATTATTGCTTCACAGCAGTCAATTGGCACCTAAGTAGCTATGTACTGTTGGGTGAAAGGGGTAACAAATCTGTGGAGACTTGTCATACATTTCTGCCTGTCCAAGAATTAAACATAGTAATCTTTGTTTTGAGCCCAAGGTGCTATCACTACGACTTGTTAACCTGTGGTAAACAGTGTTTCTTTTACTTATGAGTGTGATATGTCTTAAAATTATTGTACAACTACAGTAAATAATTTTGTATGATATATGCAAAAATATACAAATTTTGTATAGGAAATTTCACAAATTTCGTTAAAAACCTCTTGAGGGAGGTATCCTGATGTTGGTAACAAGTTCTTGATCAAGTGAATGGGGCCTATTCTTCCTTTGTTTGAATCAGACATGATTGCCCCCCCCCCCATTTCCCAGGGTTCTGTGTGATCTTTATTTATTTAGTGTTTCTCCTGAATATAATTATTAATAATAATTTAGATTGTAGTGTGGAAATTAGGAAGAGGTGTGGAGTTACTAAAAGTGTTATTCAGACGGCTGAAGAGTTGTTGAGGTGGTTTGGTCATTTAGAGAGGATGGAACAAAATAACATGACTTGGAGGGTGTATAAATCTGCAGTGGAGGGAGGAGGGGTAGGGGTTGTCCTAGGAAAGGATGGAGGAGGGGGTAAAAGAGGTTATGTTTGTAAGAGGCCTGGACATGCAGCAGGCATGTGTGAGTGTTAAATAGGAGTGAATTAAGACGAATGGTTTTTGGGACCTTACGAGCTGTTGGAGTGTGAGCAGGGTAATATTCATGAAGGGATTCAAGGAAACTGGTTAGCCAGACTTGAGTCCTGGAGGTGGGGAAATATAATACCTGCACTTTAAAGGAGGGGTTTGGGATATTGGCTGTTTGGAGTGACATCTAAACTGTCATATCTGAGCACCTCTGCAAAGACAGTGATTTTGTATGACTGATGGTGAAAGTGTTTCTTTCTTGGGTCACCCTGCCTCAGTGGGAGACAGCCAATGTGTTAAAAAAAATGTTGTATTGGGATTCACATTTCTCATGGGGGTTGGATATATTATATGTACACTACTACCATATTCCATTGTTCTCAGTTTTCATGAAATTTCTCTTTGTGCCATTTTTAAGGAAAGCCTCCCATGCAAAGATCAAAAGTTCGTTATACTTTGCATAATGATGACCATATTTTTTCATGTGGGACAGGACACTACACAATCCATCAGTGTCCAGTCCACCCCAGGCCTCACAGGTAAATAACACTAACACTATTACTAATATATTGGCTGTTTCCCACCAAGGCAAGGTGACTATTACAACCTAGGATTTCAAATGGCCTGTTATCCCAGGTGTAATGGGAGCAAATAAACACAGTAGAAAAAGTTTAGACTTATATTATCCTTCACCAATTATAACAGCAATATGTACACTATGTACAGTGATAAATATAGTGCACTCCACGGTAAGCAAGGCAGAAATAGAAGCCACAAGATAGCAGACCGTGCTTCAACCAGCTCTAGAGTGGGAATGACAAGGGCAGACAGGAGAGCGGTATCCACATAACCTCTGCGATTGTCAATCCCACCTTCTTATTGGCTAGAACCTGGTCACTAGTTGAACGATGGGGCCCCATCATCAACTCTTAGCAACCTGGTTCGCTGGTTGGGGGAGATAGCCTGTAAATGAGGGTGTGTCCATGCGCCGAATAAAGGTTACGTACTCTTTGCATGCCACACCCCCACCCCCGAGAAGGCTCAGGATTAGGCTGCCACCTCCCAGTGGTAACCGTGCCGCCATGGCACCAAATAATGGGACCGCCTATCCTCTCCACCATCCAACTCTTAGATAGAGCTCAGCTTTCCTAGTGACCAAAAGCCAAACCCTAAACTCAGAGTGAGACAGCAGTCAGATAGGCCAACATAGGTCCAAGATACAAGCGGACGGTAGCCCGTATCCCCTCACTAAAAAAAACCCCCACACAGGGGTGAAAAATTACTGTTCACCTATGTTTTTAGCTTTTTGTCCATACAAAATTCACTGTAAAACATTTGGGTTTCAAAAAATATTCCTGAAAAAACTTGGTCTAAACACCCCCCCCTTAAAAAGGGCCTCATTGTTCATTTGGATCTTGTTTCTCGGGTCTTACTTTTAATTCTTTCATTTAAAAAACTCTACTTACCTTTACAAGGTTTTTTCGCGGGCTTTTTTCCCCCTAAAATTTTTCCCATTCTTATGCCCCCTTTTGGCCTTTATGCAAATGAAATATACATGCTCCTCCCCAATCCCTAGGTACCTTCCCCTTTTCCATAATTTTTTTTAAAATAAAACATAACCACCCCTTTAAATTTAAACCCCACCTGCTTTTAACTTTCTGTCAAATTCCCATCATTCCCAGCTGCTTTGCCCCCTTTCATTCTACCCACTGCCCTCCCCTTCACCTTCCCCACACTTGCAAGTGGTTTTTTTCCTCCTCCTACAAATGTTTACCTCCACCCCAAATCCCCCCTTCAAGTTTTCTCTTCTTCATCACCCCTTCCCGTACCTCTAACTCTTTTTTCCCTTTTTTTAACCCGTCAAACCCATTTTTTCCCTGGGGGCTTTTCAGCTTATTAATCTCACTCAAAAAAACTTTTTATTCTCAACAAAATTTGTTGTTTGCATCTCCCCCAAACTTTCTCATTTGCTTTTCTTTTTACATTCTTTCACCCTCTTTTTAACCTTTTTTTCTTCCTATATCCCCCCCTTTTTGTTTTCATTTACTTTGTAAAAACCTGTCATTTTTTTGTTTATACCTTTGAAGATTTTCGAGAGTTTATTACTTCTGAGCCCGGCCATGGGCCAGGCTCGTCTGGTGCTTTTTCTGGTAAACCCGGCTTTTGCTGTGGAGGCCCACTGCCCCACAAATCCACCACAGCTGGTTGATCGGCACCTGGTAAAATACTTGTCCATTTTCCTTTTGGAGGCTTTTACACTTGTTACCCAGTGTTTCTGATATCTTTGGTAAGATTTTGAAAAGTCTGGGACCAGATTTTAAAATAGTTTTTCCCTTATTGTCCCACTACCCCTGCCCTTCACGGGGTTTTTATTTACACTTCCCCATATCTCTCACCCCAAGTATGTTGTTATGGCAGTGGCAAAAATTTGGGCCCAAAAGCCCTCTTTGTCCCTTCCGGGTTTATATTTTTTCATTTTACCTCTTCTCCTCCTCCCCTTTGAGACATGTTTACGACTTGCAGGCTTTCCCCAGTAGTTTAGGTGCTTTTTTTGGCTTATTGTGACCCGAAAACGATCTCTTTTTTGTTCCGCACCGATATTTCCCCTGCTT